AATTCCTTGCAAACAGGTTATTTTTAGATAAAGAAGAATGTTTTGTCATAGTAAATCAACAAATAACTTTCTTCTTGCAGTCTAGTACTGTCTCAGCCAGAAAAGGAGACATTTAAGTTAAATGTTAGTGATGCTGTAGTTAATAGTATCTGTAGATAGTACAACGGGATCAGGTGCTCTTGGGGTCTGTTACCTGGTGAAAGAGAGGACAGGTCACTTTGGTCACTAAATGCCATTTGTGAGCACTTTGAGGCTGTATTGACCCATCACATACTGCCTGCATGGAAAGAGGAAGCTGTATTTTCACAAGGAGGGGAGACAATAGGTCGTACAGAAATCAAAAGTGGCCCAAAAAAGCTGAGGTGATCATTCATGTCCTTACTCAGGGAGTCTGGCTTTTTCCTCAATTACTTTTTTGTATTTTTACAAAGATCAAATCCCTGCCTAAGTACAGGAATCAAAGTCTTATCTGTTCTTTTTACCTTCCTATGCATAGAAACAAAAACCAAAGATTAAAATGCTTTAGTATGTTTTGAGAGCTCTATTTCAACATGCAAACATTTTTTATGTCTACAAACTCAGTTATGACCTTTTTAATTCTGAATCAGTAGCTACAAAGAACTAATGAGGCCTAACTAATCCACTTCATATTCATGCCATTAGTTTATTTAGAGAAATTTTCTTCAGTGCTTCTATGTAGACAAAAGCTTAACAAAGACTAATAAATTGATAGAAAGCATATTACAAAAAATAAACCAAATGGTAATTTGCTTAATTAGTCACTGAAAGACAAGTGTTGTTACAAGCAACTCCGTTTTTCGAAATGTCACATGCAAAATGTAGTGGATACATGGGAAATACTCATAAAAAGCATACTCATTAAGTTCGCCACTGTACATGCTTTCAATTGGTTTAACACGTAAAATATAAAGAAGACAAGATAAAACAATGGGAAGGTGAGATAAAGGGTCAAAAGAGGACAGACGGCAAGAAGATGAAAGAAACTGATGAAAAATAATGGCTTCTGGTGACTGCACATACAATACATTATGCAATACAGGGAAGTTATCAATAGTATAAAGGTTTTAAAATCTTTTCCAATCCACATGAAAATTTTTTTTGCAAAGGTGGTACAGGACTGGGGAAAAAAAGATAATTTCATAGAGAATCAGGAAAAAAAATAATAACTTATCAGTCTGCTAAAGCTGAAGTATTAGGGACTACGAAAGATGCAAAAAACCTAACTACTTGCATATTGAACTTGAACTTGGAAACGAATGGTAGCCTACACATCAACACTGACGATTATGAGCTGTCACTGTTTACAAACACATCTCATCTCATTCCTGTACCGAATCTTAGCTACTCATATTTAACAGAAGAAAAAACAAACCAACATCTACAGAAGGGTTTTCAGAGGAAGTGGTAGGGAGAAGAACACAAAATCACAGAATCACAGAATGGTTTGGGTTGGAAAGGACCTTCAAAGATCAACTAGTCCAACCCCCTGCCATGGGCAGGGACATCTTTCACTAGATTGGGTTGCTCAAAGCCTCATCCAACCTGACCTTGAATGCTTCCAGGGATGGGGCATCCACAACTTCTCTGGGCACCCTATTCATGGGCATGGCAGCTGTGAAGCTGAACACAGGCATCCACGCAGGCTGTGACAAGAGGAAATAATGGAGTGCAAAAGTAGACACTTTAAATAATGTGTTAGGAGGTGAAATGAGACAAATTGTGAGCTGATGGAGTGATTTAACGGCAATGTGCCATTCCCCTTCTATAGCGTTCATTTTTCTGACTGGATTTTCCATTTAATGGATGACTTCAGGTTTTGCTCTGGCTTCCAGACAGTAATTCATCTCACCTCAGGATTTCAAGTGATGGTGGACTCAGCATTTGGCAGCCAAGTAAGTCTACACCATTGCCAGGACAGAGGCTCCTTCTGCCAAACTTCAATCATTTACCTCTGAGGCGGTTTTCCTAGGCCTTCCTCAATGTCAATAAAGAAAAATAAGCAGTTTTAGAGAATGATTCACCTAACATATTTTAAAAGTCTCCGGGTTGAAACAATGAATTCCTTTCCAAAAATGACTATTTCTCTTCACTGACCAATGAGGCAGCTTAGAATGCCTAGCTCAAATATCCATGTCTAGACTGTAGCCCATGCCTGCATTCCTTTGACAAATCCTACCCAAGATGTCAAGAACTGAAAGGGAAAACATGAAACTGTCTGGTTATATGAAAACAAACAAGCAAAAAATGGCTGGGCTTTTTATGAACTAGATGGACATTTATGAAAGATAACTCTTAATATCGAACAACATGCATACCTTTGGGATGCAAAAAAACCCAACAACTTTATTTGGCAGAGATTAAAGAACCAAGAGCAATTCTAGATTGATGGACAAAAATCTTCATTGTCATTTAGGTCTTTGGCTTCAGCTGTAATATAATCAAGCAAAAACAGAATAGAAAAAGGACAGAAAAGCAAAACCACTATCTCTGTTGTGACTGCTCCTAATTTCATTAAATATTCCTATGTTTTGTTCAACAGGTCATAAGATTACCAGGAAATTTTTTAAGACAACTTGCAACATATGACAAAGATCTGCTTTATATTTGCAGATTTATAATAATTTATTGGGTTTTTTTCATTAATTTTTTTCCCCCAAAATTAATCCCTTGGCGATATTGAACATATCTTTTTATTATTTTTATTTAGAAAAGATTTGCATTTCAGATTTCTGCTTGACTCCTTGGCCAGATCAAGGGTACTATAGAAGTGGTAAGTGGAAAAGGCAAATGACATTAATGTTGACAATGTTGATCTATAAAGACTAGACAAACAGCAGTGCCACCTACTGTTTAAATACAGAAACTCCTGAGAGCTGTGTCCAGGTACCTTATGCGTGGTTTACAGTGGGAAGTTCACTTCGAGAAGGAATTGCTTTCTGTAACTGATACAGCGTAGCTTAAAAAAATAAGTTTAAAAGCAAAATTAAAAACAAATAGCTGTGCATGGGTGAGATCACTGTCTTCCGTTTCTGTCTTATTTTTTCATACAAATTATTCCAGTCGGGGAAATAAGAAATTTAAAAAACGTTCTTAAATTAAGGGATAAAGTGGGAAGGCAACTGCTTTCACAGTCAAATGGTCCTTTGATTTGTTACATGATTTTGGAATGTATCAGGTATTCCTGAAATTAATGATTCCTTCTCATACAGACAACTTGCAGAAAATAATGTTAATTTCAGATTAATTGATAAAGGGCACATAAAATAGTAGCAGATCTTATTTGGAGGAAATGTTTGTAGTGACATGTTTAATAAAGTATCCAGGAGCAGCTCTTACTGCAGGGGTAGTGGGGTCCATCCGCACGAGAACTTTATAACCCCTCAGTACATCTTTGAGTCTGATTTCACTCCTGCGTCAGGACGAGGCACGGCACACGCTAGGACGGAGCCCGGCACCACAGATGCCAGGATGGGAAGCGCACTGAGCCTGCACATCTGCCCCTGGTGAGGATTTCCCTGCTACCCGCCCAAGCCCCTACCCCTCCATGGGCATGGGCACGGGCATGGGGCAAGTGGGGCTGACCATCGAAGTAGCACAAAGGAAAACGTTGCTAGGTCCTTTGGGAAGTAATGGCCATTTGTGGGGGTGGGGGTGTTTTTCCAACTTATAACAACTAACTATCCTCCTCTTGTATTACCCAGATAATGAATAACCTATAGTGCTCTTGTTTCGTGTGTTTGTTCTCTCAAACCTCACTCGTGTTACACACAGGTACACGTATACACGCCAGCCTATCACAAAATTTTCTGTTGAGATCACCACCAGTGAAAAAAAGCCTGAGAGGGGCTCCTGGAGACACCACTCTAGAAAGCTGTGAGTTTTAGATTCCCCATCCCTCTTGGAAAATGATTACAATATTCCAGTAATATACGAGTCCCTAAATGTAGGATACAGGCTAATAGGTGAAGCCACCTGACAGTGAGGCTTCTAATTCAGCCACCTCGGGTACCTGAAAGAAGACAGGCCATGCAGAGGGGGAGTCGTTTCATCTTAAGATATGATATGAGCTGATTCAGCTTACTGAAAACAAATGTCAATGTTTACTTTACATTAAACAAATAAATTAATAAAAAAATTTGGCCAAAATTAATAGGGCAGGAAAATCTTTAATACATTCTTTCAAAATGAAGAATTTCAATTCTCATTTCAGAGCAATGCTTTGTTTTAAAATTTATGACATTTATTTTTAACAGAATGAAGTATACCTTGGCCTGCAATTTCTGGTTTTGGGTAGAAAATAGGGAGCATCTCTATTCACTATCATTCCTTTTGAACAAACTCCTTGGCACATTTGCTGTGCGCAGCAAAGAAAAGCACGCATTAGCTTTACAGGCTAAGTGTCAGTGAAGACAAATTTTCTAGTCTGAAGTGGTCAGTTGTATACCACAAAGGACAAGCAAACTCATACCTTACTTCCCGTAGCTGTGGTACAATGAAAATTGATATCGAAAACAACTTTTAATATTATAACTAGATGACAATATAAGGACGTAAAGGCCAGAGCTGAACTCTCAGAGACCGTTGAGAGATGTAAAGCTGCTAGAAATCTGATCTAGTAAAGTGTCTAGGTGGCAAAATCAGATCAAATGCATGATTTAAATAATGCTACTCTGTTCAATCTAGATAGATGAGGCCTTTGGAAACTGAGGAAGAACTATCTTCTCTTCGATATTTAGAAGTAACTTGAACATGTCATCTTGGGACTAGATAGCAGCTGTGAGTCAACCCAGGGGAAATCTCACCCTCAGTCTTTTTGTTAGCTGCCGTTACTCACTTTTAATTAAAAGAATGCTCCACATAAGGCACAGACAGGTGCAAGGGAATAAAAATGAAGAGAACCTTGCCTACTCAGCTTGATGAGAGTAAATTGAAGTGGCACCCAAGTGATAAACTGGGGGCAGAAAGGAACAGACAGAAATCAAGATAAAGACAAACTTTAATCAATACAACCATGAAAGACTAGTGTTAATGTGTTCCTCATAAACAATATTGTTCCATTTTATTTAAGGAGCCTTAAATCACACAATGTCAGTTAGTCTTCACAATATTTATGTTTTGTTTAATTAACTATGCCAATCATAGCCTCACTTGCCGCTCAAATCAACTACAGGCTGGTCAGCCTGCAAGTTATATCATATAAAGCTGGTATGCAATGTTGGATATGACTAAACTCAAACAAATTCCTTCAGGCTTGGACTGAACCTCTGGTAAGGTTCAGCATGTCTAACCAACTACTACGTACTACCTATATACTTACTATATTGCATAGGACCTTTTTGTTCAGAAAGGCTGAGACTGTTAGCCTTCTGCGTTGAATGATTTTCTTGGCTTAAATCAACTAAATAGGAGAACTGTCACATACTTCATATATATATATATGGTTTTTTGTTCTGATTCCATCTGAGAGGCCATATTACAGGGCTGCATCTGGAAAGTCCATTGTTCAGTGGACTTCTGGTAACCTATGTTCCAGCTTTCTAATTTGCAGCTTAAGATAGGTTCTTATTTCATAGAATATGACAAATAAAAGTCTTCTTGAGCATTTCTAAGGACAATTTAAATTAGGCAGTTTAGGGGTTTTCCCCCTTTAGTCAGAATTCTATAATAAAGGTTTATTCACCAGTTGAAGTTTTAGATTTAACAGATAACAGAGACTTTAGATTTCTAAACTGTATTTGGACTAATGATGCAATGTCTATCCAGCCGATGATGATGGTTTTCTTCTGCTTACATACTGTTGAGAGACTTGGCTTCAAATACTGGGAGACACTGCAATTGTTCAGCTTATAATCAAAAGAATAGTCAGAAAGTGGTAAGTAGTAATTAATAATACAATGCCATGGTAATTACTATTGTAACTAAAGTTACTTGTTTTCTTGAGCAGCACTTAAATGCACTTTCTTCTTTTTCGTCACTTTTGGGTGTTTTTCTGACATTGATGTATCACCGTTTTCCTTTCCTCTTCACACTTTTGGATGAAATGTGGTATAGCTTTCTGGAACTTTTAACTTCAAGTACATGCATCTAGCTCTTCTTCCCAGTAATCAAAAATCTTTCTCTTTTTTGCTTTCTCTGGAATTTGACTCTTTTTATTTGCAATAACAAACTCAACAATTAATGCAAGCTGTACCTATTCTATAAAATTCAAGCCCACTCTTAATTGTGGACTGTTCCTTAACTGTTGGCTTGGCTTTAGTAATGTTACCAGTTACTAAAAATGTCACTAGCAAAGATGTAGTCCCAGTGTTTTATATTTGTTTCCCACAGACTTGAAAAGAAGCAGGACAGGAACTGGAAAAAGCAATTAATGAAAAAAGTAACTGCATTCCCTGCTCTGAGAAATTATCTTCCCATATGATGCCCCGAACTGCATTTCACCATCACATTTATTTATAGTCAAACTAAGTCTTTTTTTTTTTTTTCCTTGTAGGTATCATTCACAAAATATACACTTTCAAGAAATACTTTTTCCCGAAAATTCTCTTTGGAAGTACACCTTAGAAAGATTTCAGTCATGACTCAGTGATGCACCGAATCTATTTTCACCTTGTGATTCAACAAGGTGAACTTCATTTTGTTTTTATTTTTCCCTTTTTATTAAATGTTTCAATATTACATCTGTATCATTTGGAGAAGGCCTTTGCTAGAGGTTGCTAACTCTAATTTCATAAAATTGGCCATTAGTATCACAGCTGGTTTCCAAGCCAGCTGTTGAACTTTGCCTTCTGAAAGCCTTCTGCTACTGTTGTTCTCTCTCATGAGCCTCACCACATCTTCAGCTCCGTGAACACCTCCTTTCTCCCACAGATCCTTTGTAGCTAGACATTTCCACCCTAATTCCCCACCCTCCTTCCACCCTATGAAGTCACCAGTCTCCCTCCAAAACCAGATGGTTTTTATTCGGAAGCACCTCTGTTTTTTTGAGATCACTTTTTGGGGGGACAATTCTTACATTTGCTTTATCTGTGAACTTCTATCTCCTGTAATCATTCCTTTTTGGGTCCCTGTTTGGACACCTTAGCCAAGCACAAAGTGATTCTGCTTGCAGAAGTATACTTCAGCTTAGAAGTATAAAAAATTATTTATTGGTTATCGTACACAAATGATCACTACTAGGCTAGGCATTAATATGCTCACCACTTCTTAGAAGACAGACGCAGAGTCTTTGCTAGCCAGGCAGGCAAGAGTCAGGAGAAGAAGGGGCAGTTCCTGCAGGTCCCTGGAGCACAGCTGCAGTCATGCCACCTTCTGCCACCCTAGGTTTTCTTTATGACTTTATACTTGCCCATGGCGGTGCTTTTCCTTGTCTTGCCCTCTCTGCAATTTCAGCTTTCTCATCACACACGAATCTCCTCTTCAGACTTTCTGACAGCTTTTTTTTTTTCCCCACAACTCAGCAATCTCCTCAGAAGTCTGCACCATGGTTATGTAGCTGTGTAGTATCAGCAATGGGCCTGGTATCCTTAGAGCACAGATGCACGAACAGACTTCAAGACAGAGGGAGTCACACTTCTCTTTTTTAGCACCGAGATGACTGTAACACAGGAGGTAAGGAAATGGATGTTACAGGTGGCTACCAGTCAGACCTGTAGGTTTGAGTATCAGTTGCTCAGCACTAACCTTCTATATGCTCATGCTTACCCTGTAAGAAAAGCTTATCCTTTTCCTTGTGATACACCATTAGACATTTCTTCAGATCTTAATATACTGCAATAAATCATTACATTTTCTTGAACTTTCCACTCCATGTATCAGCATTCAGATCTAGGCCAATTTGAATTAATGTTGCGAAAAACTGCATTAAATCCTTTAATGACACCTATCCAAAACAAGAACCTTCCACCCTCCCCATGAAAATTTATTATGCAGGGCTCATAGAAAGAGATATTCCGTAGGAGACATAATTTTTAAATATACACAATTCTGAACAATATGCATAACATCTTTGTATGCATATACATGTTCTGTACTAAAAGAAGACTTTCAAGTTAAGTTTTACTTTCAAAGATTTTCTTTATATGTCCCCTCATTTTCCATGTAGGACTCAATGTGTGAAGTAGGAATTCACAGTCTTACTGGCAGAGACATGTCACAGCAGTCACACTAACCAACTTAATCATGCTGACCAAAAATGTAACAAATTTAAAATCATATTAACAAAAGCTCCTTTTGCCGCTGTAGCTTAGCCTGTTAAGGGAACTGATTTTACACACACCTCCAAGTAACTTGTAACTTAACTATATCAGTGCTCCAAAATACCTATTCTGGCAAACACCATGTTGTAAAACTGCTGAAATGTTTATATATCACATGTAAGCCTTTTTTGGTGCATTTTATTCTTAAGAAAATGGCAGAGCATTACAAAGAACAACAACTATTAAAGGAACAAAGAGTGAAAGATATGCTATAAAAATGTTGAATATGGATAAATTTATCTAAACATGAACACAAAAGAAGCTTTGACTTGAAGGATAAAGGTCTGATCGAGCCTAGCTGTGGGAAAGAGAAAGGATTGAGTTGAGATAGACAGCCAGAGAAGTCTTATTTATACTTTCTTCTAAAAGGGCAAAAGACGCACGAGTGCCAGCTGCTACATTTGAGAGACACTATCTCCGTTTGCTGTCCTTGGCAATGACTTGCTTGGCCTATACTTGGAACTATCCCTGACTAAAGGTTTCATTCTCACCAACTCAGAAAGCTTAATCTACATCACTCATTTTCCAATTCATTAATAGATCAGACACAGCACAGAAGGAACAAGAAGCTAAGTAATGTACTTGAGTCGACATCTGGAAGGATGAGAATGAAAAGGGTTCTCCTGTCATGGTTGTGACCTTTGTACTTGCCGTAGCCATCAACCAAAGTATCAATTTAGATGCAAGGGTGGTCCTAATGATACTACTGCCCACTACAAATTAGATCTCTGTCTACAATTAAAGCAAGATTTTTTTTTCCACCGCTAGGGCTCATCTGGCTTTCTCATCTAAAAGCTCATCCTGTAAATATGGGGCAAGAGTGCAGGATGACGAAAAGAGAAGGCAGTAACTCCACCACGAGACGGTTTGGTTGTTTTAAGACAATCCCAGGGCTCTGTTTTGCAACTATTTCTTTTTACTCTGCGTTTGGGCTGCAAGTCAGTTGATGTTATTGCTGCTTCCTCTTCCTGCCCATACAAAATATTTGCAGCAAATTTCAGTTTAAGTAAATTCCAACCAACCAAAACCACCCACATCTCCTTTTGTAAAGTATTAAAGGACTATTCCTTACGAACACTGAAAATTAAAATGAAATAGTGCTTTATGCAGAAAGGTTTTAGTGTAACTTCCATCAATTCCATGGAATATGTTCCTGTTTTATTGGAAACTGAAATTCAGTGACAACTGTGATTCAGACTTTGCTGTCTTCAATTCTGTCAAAAAGCTGGGTGCAAAACTTTCTATTTTTTGCAGAGAGCACTATACGCAGGCTATTCAGTGTAGTGATCTTTCTTTGGAGATGGGCCTATTTTATAAATGCATGTATGTCACAAACAGCTTTAATAAAAGTTAAATACAAGATTGTGGGAAACTTAATGATCTCAAGAAATTCAGTATTTGTCTATGATTACATTTGTAGTAACACAGTGCAATAAAAAGTGGCTCCTTTGTTTCTGAAATATTTTCCATTTCCCATCCTGAGCAATGAGAGAAACAATGTATTTTACTAATCAGCTGAAGTGGCATCTAATATTGCTAATCATGCTGATCATTTAAATTAGGGTAAGAATGAGATAAAAGCAATGGGTAAGAGACATGGGGAAAAGGTAGAAAGAAGGGGAGGAGAAAAAGGGAGTTAATTAGTGGGAGACATACTCAGGTCTGTATTTTCTTTTCCTTTTTGTCTAGCTTTTACAGATCACTATTCATGTAAAAATGTCAGAGATCCACCTTGTGTTCTTGTGAAAACTGAGGCTGAAACCTCAGATATTTCTGTATTGCCCTAATGAGAAGAATATTTAGGATTATGCCATTGATGCATTTATTTCTCTTCCCTCTTACTTAAAAGCAGTATTTTAATTTATAGATTGGTAACATGCACTAGCTATCACACAGAAAAAACATCCAATTAGACTCACAGTAAGCAATTCCAAAGTCATGTTGAACAAGAAGATGCCTGTAACACTTAACATTTTGCGAATGTTCATATTTCACTAGCACGAGTCACATTAAACGTGTTTTTTCCTCACACTGAAAAGTAGTATGTAAATTAGTATCTTCCAATGTTCAGACCCACGGACGTACATCTGCTGTTCTCATTTCTAACCATCTTCAAGTTGCTGATAACATACATACATAATAGAAGTGAATTTTCCTATGATTCACCTTTCAAATATTACAATTTTTTTTCCTGTCAAAATTCTGCTAATTTACGCTTCATTATAGGCTAGGAAGTGCAATTATGGATTATGCTACACTAAGGTCTGTAGCCTCTATGTAAGAAATATGTGCTTTGCAAGATTCCATGTAGAAACTATCCTACAAACTTTTATTCCAGTATTTTCTATCTTAGGATACCATCATTACAAACCTATGTCTGTTAGTAAGATGTTGGGGTCAAATTAATTAGTGGAAAAAAAGAGACATCAGTATTATCTGCATATTCTGTTTCCCACAGGCATATAGATTTGATAAGCAGCAAGTTAAAAGTCAAATTTAAGGACACTGGAAGGTTCAGCTCTGTAAAGGAAATGTGGCTATTCTTTAATCCTATAAAGTCTACAACAGACTAAACTGAAGTACAAATTAACTATTACTTATTAAAGCAAATACTTTAAGAGTAGGAAACTTAGCAACTGAAAACACGACTAAATTAAACGGTACACAACCACTTTAGACAAGAGAAGTTGTCAAGGTTCCCCCCAAAAATGGCTGCCCCTCCTTCTATCCCAAACCTGTACCAGCCCCTCTCACATACCAGTAAAAAGTAAGAGTAATAGAAGCCAGAGGTGGAAGCTAATCTGCGTGAAATCTAACTTCTTTTTTTCCCCCCAGCTAGTTTAGTTTTAACCCCAGTCAGACCCCTGGGAGAGTTCACACATCTACACTTTCATCTCACAGGCATCTTTGCTCTCCCTAGTTTTCTTCACCCACTGTGGGCTACAGGATCCCTCTCCATCTTGACTCTGTACGCTCTGTTGACTCCGGTACTCACCTGCCTAAAGGGTGAGCAGAGTCACCTTATTAAAACACACACACACGCGCGAAAAAAAAAAAAAAAAAAAAAAAGGAAAGAAAAAAATACCAACTTCACTGCCGCCCCGAGGTCGCCCCTTCAGCGACAGCACGCCCCTCCCGACACAGTGCCGGCCCGGTGCAAGGGCGGTGCTCAAGGGCTGCGGACACCCGCCCACACGACGTCTCCCGCTGACAGCGACAGCTCACAGGGGGACGGCGTGAGGC